CACCCACACCCACACCCCCTCTCTCTATCTCTCTCACTCACACACACACACCCATCCTACCCCCGCCTCTTCTCTGCCCTCTTTTACACACTCATCACCCACACACAAATCACACACACACACACAAACAAACCCGGACCCATCACACACACGCCCAACACAGACCCACCACACACGCACCCACACCCACTCACCCACACACACCCAAAAGAGAAGAAGTTGGATTATTTGATGTCGAAGAGAGACTGAGAGGTTTTTCGAACAATTATTCTATCATGCATTCTCACCACTACCATCAAAATTCACCCACAGATTTCGACTAATTTTTCAAAATACATATAGAGAGAATTCAAATCTCACGTCTAATTCAAAGTAATTTTTTTAGAGGATTAAAGTAAGTACGATTTTTTGAGGATTCACATAGAGTAAGTATGCCAAGTTGTTTTTATTGAATTCATGTTATGGGATTTAAAGACATTGACATAATGATTTTCATAATTATCTTTTTAGTTATTAAGCATACTTATTTTTTTTTTTTTAAAGATCTTGGCATCAGTTTGGTTTTAGTGTTTGTAGATGCTTAGTCAAATTTTGCATATAAAATGGGGAGGCAATATTTTGGAAAAAATTCCATGTTGAGAACATAATTCATATCATGAATTAATCTAGCAATGCTCCTTAAACCGAGCCAGGCAAACATGTACAAATCTGTAGGTTTGTCTTCTTACTATAATTATGTGATATGTGTATTATTTATTTTTGTCATCCTTGGTATTACAATATTTTTGGCGTATGCCTAGACACTAAGTTCCTTGAACTGGTGTATGCCAATTTTTTTGTCCATTTCTCCATAGCTTTGATGCTCATAATTTTAAGACCATAACAGATACTCATTCACAAGTTTTTGCTTTGAGTTATTTTATTTTATTTTATTTTTTATAGTGGAAAGATTTTTGTGTTTCAAATTTTGTTGAGATTTTTTCTTAAAAGGTAATGCATTTTAAGACACCATAACAAGGGAATGTGGCATGTTCTGGTGTTAAGCAAGTTAATGCATTGTGTCAGAACAGTTGTCCATTCTTTCATTCTCTTTGAGTTTATTGTTAGCAAACATGTACTTTTATGGTCCCATTACTGTTTTTCCTCCATCGCTTCCCCAACTCCACCATACCAATAACCTTACTACTGTCTCCTTCACCCGCTAATGCTTTGACTTTGCATTTGAATTGCCAGAGAGTAGAGAGTTTTTACGTGAGCTTTGAGCCCCTCTCTCTATACCTTTCCTCTTTTGCTGCACTTTGTTTTTTATTAATTGTGTTTCTGTGGGTTTTTTGCTATATTGATGTGTTTTGCAACAAAAAATTACTCTTTGCATCTACTTTATTGGATGAGTTCGAATCTTCCCAATTTAGTGATATTCGTTGAATTGATGTTCGGAGTTTTGTTGAAGACGCAGTGATTGATTAGGTGGTGGTGATCGTAATGACGTTGTTTACTTTGATTATTGGCTTATTGGTACTGGTCCAAGTAAAGAATCAAAGTTTGTGGTGGTCCCAAGAGCAGTGCCGGTGGAGCGTTTGTAGGANTGGCTTATTGGTACTGGTCCAAGTAAAGAATCAAAGTTTGTGGTGGTCCCAAGAGCAGTGTCGGTGGAGCGTTTGTAGGAAGTAAACGATCGAGGGTTAGTTTAGTTAAATTTGATTTGATAGTATTGGGTTGTTTATATATTTGAATTGTCGTGTTCAGTTAGATTCTTAAACGGATGGTTTGAATGTGCTTCTTAATTATGGATCATAATATTGTGCTTAATGATTTTGAGCTACTTTTAATTGATTGTAGTTTATTAATACACTGGAACCGGGTGTCGAGAAATTGTTGATGATGGCCGACAAAATCATAATAATTTTTACATGGGATAGTCATTATTTTTAATTGTTTTCATCTTAGCCTTTTTACTTGGGCTCTTTTTGCCAAGTATTAATTTTATTAGTATTTAACGGTCCATGCAATCAGCAAACTTCTTTCTTAGTGGGAAAATTGTTGTGTGAGATGTTGATTTGAAATGCTCTTCATTTGTTAGTGTTCATGTATGACGTGCTGGTAATCACTAAAACATATTATCTCTGTTTTTTTTATTTGGGTTTGGATTTTGGTAAAATTTAATTTAATTTATATTTGTTTTGTTGTAGTAAATGATGAGATTTGGTTGCAAATTTCTTTTTTTATATTATAACAAAATTGAAACTTTAATTCAAATTTGGTATTATTGGATTTGGAATTTTGTTTCGGCATTGGACTTGACAAGGTTAGGCCTGGTGTATACATTTTCTCTCTTTTAGATTTTATATTCTAAGTAACCTATATTGTCATGGGAATGCTTTTTGGTTTATTTTATAAAGTGTTGGAAGCTATCAGTATAATAAGCTTGACATTTTAATTCTGTATTTTACATTAAATTTGTCCAATGAGTTTTTATTGAATAATTGCACCAAGCCGAGGAAATTGACAAAAAAATTTACACCGATTGTAGGGGCATGGGTTGGTAGAGGTTGGCTATAAGGGGCTTATTGGGGTTATGTTGTTTAATCACGCATAATGATTTTCTTCATTAGATATATACTAGCACCATCGAGGGATTCACAAAGATAATTAATTTTTAATTCTTTTAATTGTTAACTAAATTTATTTTGACAGTTGAGTTAGTTTTCATATTTTTGGGGGTTTTGAATGGAGGGTTTAAAGATTACATCAAAACTAAAGTATTAGTAATTGAAAATAATAATTATGTTTCATTTTTTTCTATTTGAATGCTAAACTGATAGTAGTTTTTCAGTAAGCTCAGAACTACATATTGAAAATCACCGATTGTTGCCGAAGAACTCATTACCAGCAAAGATGCCGCTAAAAATTTCACATGACGCCACTACACAAGTAAGACAATATTTCCTCTCATTTCATTTCTTTTCCCTTAAAGCCTCAACTTTGTTGATGATTCACTAAAAAATAGTTAGTTTTTGTTTGATAGTTGGGAAAGAGATTGTGGGTTTATTGGGTCATATGTGGTTCTAAAGTTTTGCTGAGTGAGATGATTTTTCACTAACCAAGATCACTCGCATTTTTCATCTCATATTTTAGGAAACATACTTTCTTATTTCTCTAAAATGTGTTTGTGGCACTTGCGACGAAATTTGGGACAGTGCTATAATTTTTAATTTTATGTTGAATCCAACTAACAATAAAAGTAAGAGGTCTTATGTTTTTGGATTTACAATTATTTTATTTTGCCTCACATATTTCGATAATTGGTTATATTTCAAATATTTTCAGATATACATGGAAGGATATGAAGATGAAGTTGAAGGTGTTTCTCTATTTGTGTATGTGTGTATTTTTTGTGTTCATTCTTTTGTACAATTAACTAATTATAGATGGTTGTGATGGTTTTGTTTTGGTGGTTTGCATAAACATGGTTGTGATGATTATAGTGATATATATAATTGTAAATTTTATAGACATGTTTAGATTTTTTTGGACAAATATTTTCGTTACGCTATGCCTTCAGGCACGGGTAATTACTAGTTACCTTAAAAAACGACACGTGATTACTTTTGTCAAAAAAATTAATAATTTGTTTATGTAGGGATTAAAATGATATGAATTGAAAACTTTAAGGACTAAATTGAAAAAATTAATATAATAAAAACTAAATTGATAAAAAAAATATATGATTTAAGAACTAAAACTGATATTAACCCTTGAAAAAAAGGAAAAGGAATAATAAATGATTATTTAAAATATAAATGAGTTTTAAGGGATCATGTAGTTATCAAATGCCTTACCCCATTGAACTACATCCAGGACTATATTGACTTGGTGGCCGAAGCTAGCTTGTCAAATATACCCGTTATCGGATAAATTTCAAAGAGTTTGAGATATTTTATTTTTTATTTGTTCATTTAAAAAATGACAAAAATGCTCATGCCATAACGTAATATTGTAGAACCGAATTCTTTGTACTGGATAGTTGCAACTCTGAAAAAATAAATCTAGTAAAACATATTTTATTTTGATCGATTGTCTAATTTTCTTTGTTTACCGTGAAGAATTTTTCATTTCAAGATTCATCGATTAGAATCTTATTGAATTGGTATTAGTTTGGATACGGAAAAATCATTCTAATAGGTCAAATAAGTGTATTAAAAGTTAAATATAGGGGTTTGATGAAATCTATGGTGATTTCAAAAAAAAAAAAAAATTTACTTAAAAAACTATTCTTCTATTCACCTAATTATAATGGATATTTTAATAAATTGAGTCATATGATTTGATATGGATATATAGACCCTACATATATGTCACCTACCAAACATGAGATTGAATTGAGTTTTTGATTGAATCGCATGAAAAGATCCATCGAAGGGGTTTCTTAGAACTGATCCAATCCCCCTCTATATGAATCATCCAAACATGTTCTAAAGTAGGGGTGACAATCGTGTCAGATCAGATCGTATTCATATTTTGTGTTCGTATCGAGTATTAATCAATCATAATATAACTAATTTAACTAATTGTTTTATGTTGAGTCAACTTATTTATTTTCATGTCATATTCGTGTTGAGTCATATAACCCTTAAATAAAAAATTTTATGTTTAATTTTATGTTTAAAATTTTATTATCACTTAATCGAATTTATGTTCATTCTTTTCTATAAACTCAAAATTAATTTTATAAATATAATAGTAAAAAAGATTAAAAATAATATTCTAGAAACGTCTTCAGCAATTCAACCGAATTGTTATATGTGATGTTTTGAATCAAAGCATATCAATATCAGAGATCGTCAACGGTACCGAAAATGCTTTGAACATTATTGTACTTACCCGAAGGAAAGATTTTTCCATCAGGCATTGAAGATTCCATGAAATATCAAAATGAACAGCACGTAAATCCAATGTCCTAACGACATCGTTGCGGTCAACTCAGAATATTAAATTCGACAACTATCATCAACAACATTAAAGATTTATTCCATTCGTGTTTTTTTTTAAAGAATCTTGTTTGGAGTCCTCGTAAATCCAACGTATAAGCCTCTCAAACCCCCATTGATGAACTTTCACAGATCTCAATTTCCCTATTAACAAACTTACTAACCAACCAGCAAACTGTTGACCCTTCGAGACTTCTCTCTGCTACTCTTTTTTTTTTTTCCTTCTCTCAGGTAAAACGTCAAGCACCTTAAATACAATTATATAACTATAGTGTATGTATACATGTATGTATTTTTATAACTTTTTTCTTTTCTTTCTTTGATGCTTTTGCTTTAAGATTTGGACAAAGATGGCTGTTGTAATGAATTTGATGTTTTAGTTTTGCTAGCAATTTTGAGAGAAAATGAACTGTTCTTTTCCTTTTTGTTTTGTTTTTACATATGGGTAGAATTATACTGGAGGATTACCAAAATTTGAGCTTGGTGGGTTTTGCTTGAGGATTGTGGGACTTGGAGTGATTTTTGGGTTTTTGAATTGGGTGGGTTATTGGTTGGGGGTTGTGTGATTTGGCAGAAAATAGGGGTTGAATAGGGTTCAGAAGCAGCCAGTTTTGTGGTGGGAAATTGTGGGTTAGATAATTGAGGTTGAATTTTGGTTGAATTTTTACATTGGGTATTGAAGAGTTGAGCTTTCTGAACAACTGACGTTAGTAGTTGGGACTGGATTTTGGTTTGCCTAGGTGGTTGGTGATTTTGTGTTTACCTTGTATAAGAAGCTTAAGACTTTTACTGTTTTGTGCCAATTTATCGGCTTTTTATTATGTACAAAGAGCTTGTAAAATTGTTTTCTGGATAATATTGCCCGGAAATTGGCGATATAAAAGAAGCTGAGAATTTGATTGCTCTGGCCTATCTCATGGTATTGATTAAGAAATTTGGATACACACCATGGGACATGGAACTAAGAGTTTGATTGTATTGCACAGTTTCTTTGGAGATTGATGATATATAAGAAGCTTGAGAATTATATTGCTCGGGGGAAATTTTTGGTGATTGAAAAAGGATTTAACTTGATTGACACTGGAGGGAATACAGATGAGAATCTAAGAGTTTGTCAACAAATTTTTAAGCTTGAACATATATAAGGAACGGGAAAATTGTTTCTGTCAATTTTTATTTTTATGCTGGTTATGGTTTGCTCTAGGGAATTGAATTAGGTTAGGGGGGATTGAGAATTGAGATAAAGGGTTGCACATACAATGGATGAAGCTCAATGCAGTTCCAATGCGTTGCCTCCTTTCCTCACAAAGACATACGAGATGGTGGACGATCCCTCCACGGATTCCATTGTTTCTTGGAGTCAGAATAATAAAAGCTTCATCGTGTGGAATCCACCAGAATTTGCTAGGGTTTTGCTGCGCAGATATTTCAAGCACAATAACTTCTCCAGCTTTATTAGACAACTCAATACATATGTAAGCCAACCTTTTTTTTTCGTCTTCTTGACTTTCATATGATTTGAATCCATACTTTACATTCTAATTTGAGTGTGGCCCTTGCCGTAGTGTTAAAGATTGTTTTATTGTGACCTGCACGTGAAGAGTTTAAGTCGCAGAAACAACCTTTCCACTGTGTACATCTGGCCCTCCCCAAATCTAGTAATGGCGAGAACCTTGTGCAATAAGTTCTTGCCAATAACCACGTCCACTGAATAGAAACATTAAACTAAAATCCCAGACAAAATGAGCACCTAGGAAAAAAAGGCTATATGCAATAATGAAGAACCATAAGACTGAATTACCTTGGATGCCTGAAAGGACTCTTTTTTAACTTGACATTCTAATTTAAAGTTTACATTTACTTTGTACAGTTTGTATCATAATCTTTGCATTGTTAAACAGGGATTTAGGAAAGTTGACCCTGAGCAATGGGAATTTGCTAATGATGATTTTGTTAGAAGTCAGCCACAACTTCTGAAAAACATCCACAGACGCAAGCCAATTCATAGTCATTCCCTACAGAATCTTCATGGACAAGGAGCTTCTTCATCTCCACTAACTGAGTCAGAAAGAGATGGATATAAGGACGATATTGAGAGGTTGACATGCAAAAAAGAATCCCTTCAAATGGAGTTACAGAGACATGAACAGGAGCAGCAAGGAATTGAACTGCAAACTCAGACTTTGTCTGAGCGTTTGCAACATGTAGAACAGCGGCAAATGAATATGTTATCAGCCTTGGCTCGAGTCTTACAAAAACCAGAAGTTTCTCTGAATCTCCTGCCGCAATCCGAAATACATGATAGAAAGAGGAGGTTGCCAAGAAACAATTATTTTACTGCTGATGCCAGCATTGATCGTAATCAAAAAGGAACTTCCCAGATCTTGGCTGGAGAAAATTTAAGTGGTAGTTCTCTTTCGGTGTTCAACAAGGAATTGTTGGAGAAGTTGGAGTCTTCCCTTATATTTTGGGAGAATATTATACACAGTGTTGGTCAAGCTTACATGCAACAGAATTTATCCCTGGAGTTAGATGAATCTACAAGTTGTGCAGATAGCCCCACTATGTCTTACACAGAATTAAATGTTGATGGCGGGTCTAAAACTTCTGGGATTGACATGAATTCTGAACCTTTTACTGCCATTGTTCCAGAGGTTGCTGCGTCAGAAGAGCAAATAGGTGTCACTGTGTCTACTGGGGTCAATGATGTATTCTGGGAGCAGTTTCTTACTGAGAATCCTGGATCAACTGCTGCATCGGAAGTTCAGCAAGAAAGAAAAGATCTTGACAGCAGAAAGAATGACAGCAAACCTGTTGACCAAGGGCACTTTTGTTGGAATAGAAATAGTGTGAGTAACCTTGCAGAGCAATTTGGACATCTTACTCCCGCAGAGACATGATTGATTTCACTCTTGTTGTGCATATCATGACATGTTGATGCAAACATTTTTATCATTAATCGACGTTTGATTTTACCATAATTCTGAATAGGCCATACAGAATCTAACCTTTCGTTTTGAGAGCACAATTATCATCTAATTTTAGATTCCTCCGGACAAGAATTCTTTGCAGCCTCTTCTCTGTGTCACAGCTCATTACACACAATCAATGGAAGGCTGTTCTCGTAAAATATGCGCTGCTTGGACTTTGAGTGCACTTGGAGAGTTGAGAGTTTTCAATGTGAATGTATTATGTTAATCCATTTCATTTGCGGGAGTTCGTATTCAGCAGTTGCAAGATGTGATTAACAACATGGCTACCCATCAGTCATGCCAGATGAATTCATGTCACATTCTTGTATAAATTTCTATAATTTATCTGCCCTATTGAATTGATCAAAATCTTTTTTTAGATAAATAAAATAGATTTGTAGATAGACCATTTTACATATTCATTAAAGAGTACTTTCTTTCAGTACCATAAATCCATTTAGAGGAGACTCAACCGCACTTAGATCAGGACCAAAGCAAAGGTCTCACTACATATTTTAGATGTTGAAAAATAGGTTTTGTCCTACTGAACTATTGTAGTTACGGAGACTCGAATGACAGCATTAAGCAAGAAAATATAAATTTTTATTCATCGGACCAACGTTCGGCAGTGAAAAAAAGAAATGTTCATTTTAAAACAAATACATGTACGCTATTCCCAACAAGCTTCACCCAGCCATGTCTACATGCTTCTCTCCACCACCAGTTGTCTCTTTCACAGAGATGGCCACTTCCATCTCCGAGCTCCACCAAGCTCACGCCCACATGCTCAAAACTGGCCTCTTTCACCACCCATTTGCAGCTAGCCGACTCATCACCACCGCTATTACCAACACCAACTCTGACACCCTCCCTTACGCTCAATCCATATTCACTCGCATTCAACACCCAAACACATACATCTACAACACCATGATACGTGCCTATGCCAATAGTCCCACCCCTCAACTTGCTCTCCTTATCTTCCTTCAAATGCTATATGATCACCGTGTTGTCCCAGATAAGTACAGTTTCACTTTTCTTTTGAAGGCTTGTTCAACGCTTCGCAGTGTTGAAGAAGGGCGACAAGTTCATGGTCATGTGGTAAAGACTGGAGTTGGGGATGATGTGTATATATGTAATACTTTGATTCACATGTACGCTTGTTGTGGCAGTTTTGAAATTGCACGTAGTTTGCTTGATAATATGCCAATGAGGGATGTTATTTCCTGGAATGCGATGTTGAGTGCGTTTGCTGAGATGGGTTTGGTGGACTGGGCTCGTGGATTGTTCGATGAAATGCCTGACAAGAATTTGGAGTCTTGGAATTTTATGATTTCCGGTTATGTCAATGATGGATTAATTGATGAAGCAAGAGGTATTTTTGATGAGATGCCAATGAAAAATACAGTGTCTTGGAATGCCATGATCACGGGGTATGCTCACATTAGTCGATTTTGTGATGTATTGAGGTTTTTTGAGGCAATGCAGCATGCTAAAGTAAAGCCTGATAATTGCACACTAGTGAATGTGTTATCAGCTTGTGCTAATCTTGGAGCTTTGAGCCAAGGGAAGTGGGTTCATGCCTATATCGATAAGAATGGGATTGATGTTAATGGTTTTTTAGCTACGGCTCTTGTAGACATGTATTCAAAATGTGGGTATATTGAGAAGGCTTTTGAAGTGTTTAATGATACTTTGAGGAAGGATGTTAGCACATGGAATTCAATGATTACAGGACTAAGCATTCATGGATTTGGAGAGCATGCATTACAGATTTTCTATGACATGGTTGGGGATGGTTTCAAGCCCAATGAGGTTTCCTTTGTGAGTGTTCTATCAGCCTGCAGTCGAACAGGTTTGTTAAACAAGGGGCGTGAAATGTTTGATCTCATGGTTCACGTTTATGAGATTCAACCCACAATTGAGCATTATGGTTGTATGGTGGATTTACTTGGTCGGTTCGGATTGATTGAAGAAGCTGAGGAAATTGTGAAGAAAATGCCAGTGAAAGAAGCTCCTGCTGTTTGGGAGTCTCTTTTGGGTTCTTGCAGAAAGCATGGTGATGTCGTATTGGCAGAACGCATTGCTAGGAGACTTTTGGAGTTGGATCCTCAAGACAGTGCTGGTTATGTTCAATTGTCAAATGTTCATGCATCTATGGGAAGATGGTATGATGTTATGGAGGCAAGGAGGAAGATGCGGGCACAAGGAGTCACTAAAGAGCCAGGTTGTAGCATGATTGAAGTTGATGGAATTGTTCATGAGTTCTTAGCTGGTGAAGGAATGATTTCTTTCGAGGGCAATGAGAGCCTACTTCCAGAGAATATGAACCATCAATCAGATACCACTTTGACAGAACTAGAACTCTAATTTTTTTTCCTGATGGCTTGGGCAGTTGGTCTCTAATTGAGGTTTACAACTAAAAGTTTGAATTTTGTAGATCTTGTGACTTTTGAGAGTTTCAGATGGGTGGAAGAACTCCTTTGATTATCAAAGTCTAGTTTTCTTAGCTGGCTATAATAAGACCTACTGAAAGCACAATTGGCAATTAGACTAAAACGCCTTTAGTACCATTTGAATTGAATATAAGGGGAAAGAATCTGGAGGCTTTTGGGCCTGAAGAAAGAATTCAGAAATGAGTGCAGTCACTTTGTGGCTGGAATATGACAAGCATGCTTATGATGCTCGGACAGCAAAAACACCGAGCGAAGCTGTTTTGTTTGCTCAACAAGAAGGCTGTGATGATATTTAACTAGTATTGCAGATGGGAAGACTGAAGAGTATTTGCAGAAATTTAGATACTCTCTCAAGTGATGTGTGTACGCAGAATGGAGAATTGATCGGCACATGAATTATCAAGACATGCTCGCTTTGTTTGTGATCCTATTGTTGGTAGGAGGAAGTACTGGACTTTTTATCGTTTCTTTTGGGGGAGAAAAAAGGAATTCAGAAAGGATGAATCACGGCCACGAGGTCTAAAAGTTGATTGTTTGTAATCTACATGTGCTGTTTCACTGTAGATTCTCTTTCCATGGCACTTGCCTATATTGGAAAATCGTTATGTCTTGTGTAATCATATGATTCAATATAAAGATACTAAATGTGGTTTTTTTTTTTGGAATTTTGTTACTATTCCTGCTTGTAAGGAGTACTCTTTTCTTATAGTTGTCATTGTCAAATGGTTTATATATCACCCTCTCTGAAGTTGCTTATCAACGGCCGCTTAAATATGTATGCTGCTTTTTGTGGTTATTTCTATCATAATGGTTCTAAAGTATGCATCCTGTTCCACTTTAGTTCTTATTCTTTTCATATTTTTACCAAAAATAAAAAATTCAGTCTAACTCCAAGTGGTCCAATCGATTGTTCAAAACTACTAACACTTTGACACATGGTAACTTCCGTCAACAATTTTAACCTATAGGCATAAGCCTGTGCAGTGGTTTACATGAATTTGGGTAACATAGTAAGAGTTCTGGGAGCTTAAGCCCGCTGGTCTGAGATCATCCAAAAGGTGATGGATTTTGTAGGAGCCTTACTGATAGAGAATGTTTGGAGTTAGTGGTGCTTCTCTCTATGCTCAGTAATGTTTTTTTAACCCAAAATCAGCTTGACAAAAGATGTTGGTTTATTGATTCAACGGACGTGTTTTCAAGTAAATCTTTCTTTGAATTGTTAATTGATGATTCCACTATTCCATTGTTTCTTCCCTCATTGAGAATTTGGAAAGCCAATATGCCTGTGCAACTGTGTGCATGATTTATTGATCATGGTAAGAACAAACTGATGACATGCTTCAAAGAATACCTAAGACTCGTTGTCTCCCTCTGTAATGTGTAATGTGTAGAAATGACAGTGAGAGTGTGAATAATTTTTTTTTTTGCATTGTCCAACAGCTTTCTTGCTTTGGAACAAGTTTAGTTTTGTGCGACTATGTTGGGTGGCACTATGTCTTCAATGCTTGCTTTGAATGCTAGGGGTTGGGTAGGAAACAAAAAGATGAAGACCCTTTTAGCGATATACATTTTTTCGTACTATTTGAGTTATTTGGTTGAAAAGGAACGCGAAGATTTTTTATGGCAAATGCGAAGAGGTGGAATGTTTATGGGACCAGATGTTTTTCTCGGCTTCTTTTGGACAGTCGGTGTCTAAAACGTTTGCAAACATTCCTCTTTGTTGTATTACTACGAGATGGACAATCTCCTGTAAAATGTAGCATGATTATGTTCTGTTCTGTTTTGCTTTTATGATGTATGAGTTCAACTATTCTTGGGTTGGATGTCTTTATCAACCTTAGAGAGCATTTGTAATTCTTCTTTTTTATTATCTATTAATAAAATTTAATGTTTCCTATTTGAAAAAATGGTATAGGCTGGGTTGCCATCCCATTAGGTCAGGTCAACTTTTTTGAACTGCTTTGACAGGAAAAGCATGTTTGCACTCTAAGGATCGGGTAGTCAAATTCTTTGGCTTTCTCTTACTTCAGATATGATGAAGGCATCACTTTGAATATAAGAAACCAATTTTCTTACTCCCAAAGTTATAGGATTAATCGATTCCAGCTTGTTAAACGAGTATATTTAGATTTTAAATTTAGTTCAGTTGTACATAGTCGATTTCAATTGTCTAACTTAAATTCTTGTAAAACTTAGCGTGAGAAAAATTTACAAGCATTTGAGCTATTACGAATTCGATTTTTTAGAATAACTCCAAAAAAATAAAATTGAATTCAGCCAAAAGGCTGAGAAAGACCCAACTTTCCAAAATTAAAGGCTTAAAACTTAATGATCAACATTAAAATAATTCATTTCTCGATAAAAATCCTTCATATCTATATATTCAATCATAAAATCAAACCCTATAAATTTAAATTTCCCCAAAATGTAGTAAAACGGAGTAGGCAACTGGGATGTACATCTAGGGCTGATAATTAAGTCAAGTTACTTAGGTTCTGCTCGGAATAGAGTTTGGCTCAAGTTCTAAACAAGTCGAATTTAAATAATTTTTTAAATTCATTTAGAAAACGGCCTAAAAAGGCTCGGCTCGAATAAGAGTTTGGCTCAAGTTCTAATCAAGCCGAATTTAGATAATATTTTAGACTCGTTTATAAAATGGCCTACAAAGGCTCAGCTCGTTTATATGTAAATTTGTCAAAATATTTGAATTTAGTTAGTTTTGGGCTCGGCTAGAGCTTGACTCATTTTCTAAATGAGTTGAAGTTGAACAATTTTTTAGACTCGTATAAAAAAACAAGCTCGACAAACTTAACTTGAACTCTCAAAACTCGACTTGATTATCAACATCATATATATGATCTAAAGCTACTTGATAATTAGTTTGGGTTCTTCATTTTTTCGTTATAAGGGTTTTCTGAATTATATATGGAAATGAACTTATTCAAATCAAGTTCAACCATGCATTGCCTAGATGCAAAACAAACTTACATATTGTATTAAATTCAGTTCATGTTGTAGTTTGAACAAAGTTGGAGTGAGTCAAAATTGAATTGAGCCCAATTGAGCTCGAACTATTCGGATCATCAAACAACCCAAAGTCATTATCCAAATAGAGAATAATATTAAGATCTCCTTTCAGTAAAGTTGATAATCGAACTGAGATACTTGAGCTTGGTTCAGGCTCGATTAAACTGAGTTTTGAATCATTTTTTAAACTCGTTTAGAAATGAGCTTGACAAGCTCGATTTAAACTCGATAGTCTCAACTCATTTATATGTAAATACTCGGGTTTGACTCGAATTCGGCTCGTTTTGGGCTTGTTTAGATTCGGCTTAAACTTGAATAATTTTTTAGACTTATTTAAAAAGACGAACTTGTTCAAACTCGTTCGATTATCAGTCCTACCAGTCGACATTACTTCAATTAACAATAAAACATAAAAGAAATAGTTCATGAAAAATATTGCGTGCATCAATTCTCTTTCAGTAAATGATATGACACGATCATAATCATTGAATTGATGTAAAAAAATTATTATAAAAGTTGGTAAGCATGGATGATAATATAGATGGAGAAAGAATACAATCCATGCAATCAAAAGGAAGAGTTGTTGGTTAAAAAATATTGAAAAAAAAAAAAGAATATATCTGAACTATTTTCACATGCTTTCATAAATAGCAAACCTTACGTACACAACACTTATCAAATGGCACAACACAAAAACCCTTGTTGTTTGATTCTTGTTCTGCTTGTGGTTGTGGTGTCTCTCTCTTGTGGTCTGGAGATGAACCATGGAAATGAAGAATACATATCAGCAGTGGGTGATCCAGGGATGAGAAGAGATGGGTTGAGATTGGCAATAGAGGCATGGAATCAGTGCAATGAGGTTGGAGATGAAGCTCCTAACATGGGCAGCCCAAGAGCTGCTGATTGCTTTGATGTTTATAGAGCTTTTCCAGAGTTAAAAAGTCAGTGCCCAATTTATGTTTTTTTCAATTAACTATTATTCGTACAATTGCTAGATAGAAGATTCGAACCGTTGATCTCCACTCCATCGAAATGGGGCTAACCATCTCGAAAACCATTTTAGATAGTTCTCAATGTCCAATGTATCTGTTTTTCATTCTCACTTTCTGCATTCACCTTCTCAAGGATGACAAATACATATATGTCTATCTTTTATTTTTATTTGTTTTTTCTTGTGCTTTTCTTTCTTTTGGGTATAAGAACTGTCATGTTTGATATCTCGGTGGGTATTGTATTAGAAAAAGGTGAGCTATTATTGGATGAGTTTTTGTTGCCATTCCTCTGGTTTGGACACCAATATTTGTTTCCTATTAAGAGAAAGACAAAAAGAAGAATGTAGATAACATAAGATGTGCTAAGGGATGACAATGTCCAACGCGATATAAATCTGACACAATAATAAATGTCAGGTTAGTATCAAATATGAATAACTCGTTTAACTATAACAATAAAATGTTTGATTTTTACTTATATTTTCTTTTTTGATCAAGTATTATATGAATTATTATAGAATTAAATAGTTTTTCTTTAATTTTCTTTTGCTAGGATGTGGATCAAGTAAATTTCTAATATACTAGGACCTACATGTGGTGGACTTGATTTAGAAAAAAAAAAAGGGGGTCTTAGACCTGTGGTTTGTGCTTCACAGATTATACGAAAATGACAAGAACATAATACTAACCCAAATTAATCGATTCGAATATAGCACGACCCAAATACAGTTCAATTCATGCATGTCTACACAANATGGGGGTCTTAGACCTGTGGTTTGTGCTTCACAGATTATACGAAAATGACAAGAACATAATAGTAACCCAAATTAATCGATTCGAATATAGCACGACCCAAATACAGTTCAATTCATG